TCCAACAGCTGCAAAGAAAGAACAAAGTCATGTAGGAAAAAAACAAACAACAGACAACAACAACAACAACTCCTGTATGGATCAGCTTCTCTGGAGGAAGGGTACTAACAGCAAAGGAAATGGTTGGAACTTGAAAAGCACTGGCAGAGACAACCAACTTAAGAAGACAATGCTGAGATTGGAAATAGCTGTAAGCTATGTAAGTTCTATTCTGTTCTGTTCTATTCTATTCTATTCTATTCTATTCTATTCTATTCTATTCTATTTTTTATTTTTGAGACGGAGTCGCGCTCTGTCGCCCAGGCTGGAGTGCAGTAGTGCGATCTCGTCTCACTGCAAGCTCCGCCTCCCGGGGTCACGCCATTCTCCTGCCTCAGTCTCCTGAGTAGCTGGGACTACAGGCGCCCACCACCTTGCCTGGTTTATTTTATTTATTTATTTATTTATTTATTTATTTATTTATTTATTTTTGTATTTTTGTATTTTTAGTAGAGAAGGAGTTTCACTGTGTTAGCCAGGATGGTCTCGATCTCCTGACCTCGTGATTCGCCCATCTTGGCCTCCCAAAGTGCTGGGATTACACACCCGGCCATAAGCTTTGGTTTTAACAGGCAAAAGCCCTTGTTAGCATATGCCATGCAGTCCAATATGTATATATTCCAATGTGTGTATATTGGACTGCATGGTGTACGCTAACAAGGACTTTTGCCCGTCAAAACCAAAGTTAAAAGGCAAAGACCCACAGAAGCAGTTTGAAGTTATTTTTCCTTGATAGACAAATGGAAGCAAAGAAGTATACTGACATGTGCTGCTTTCAGTTTCTGCATATTCTGAGTTAGATGTCTATCCTCTATGTTTGATTAGCACGTGGTAATATACTTATCACTTTCTAACGTAGTTGTTGGTTTACCTCCCTCTCCAATCAGATTAGAAACAGACTGATAGCAAGGTGAAGTCTATTATTTCTTTAGCCCCCGTGCCTAGCAAAGATCTGAAATCTATTATCAACTATCTATCAAATAAATGAGCCAGGTTTAACACTATTATCCTGAGAGAGACAAGGTAATCAACTAAACATCCAAAACCAAAATAATATGTGTTACTCTTGAGTAAAACCTGAGGTAATATGGAAGTACATGGAGTTAATATTAATTCCAATTAAATGTAAAAAAGTTTGGCACTTTAGCTACAGATAAATGAAGCCTCATAGATAAGTGTAAGTGATGAGTGTGTATGAGGTATTTTGAAATATTGAAACGCTTTTATAAGTGCTTCCAGATAACTTTACTGTTTCTAATTGGAGGCCGTTAACCTAGAACTCAAGAAATCATTGAGGATCAAGGTCTAGAGTGTTTCTGACTCTGGACTAATGCTGAGCTTATGAGTGAATGTCAGATGATGCCAATCACAGGATGTAAAAACTGTCAACAATGAAAAACAAGGCAAGGGCTTACATCTCATATCACAGTTTTTTTTTTATATATATAGTGAAATAATGTATTATGCGCACTTTTGTTTACTGCATTTCTAGACATTACTGTCTGAAACAAAAATTTGCTGAACATTGCACCTGCAAGCCAGTGACTGCCCCCAAGATGAATCCACTTATTTTAAATGACTTTATTTATAGTTAAGGTAGTGACTAACACCACAACTTGATTAGGGAATATCCCCTGAAAAAAAACTACTATATGTATGTTAAGCGTATTTATCTGTGTGTAATAAGACCATGATTCAAAAATCATGTTCTGAAATTGATAGGTCATGGTGATCAATTGGCTAGGAAGATAAATTGGAGAGCAAAAGTAGTTTCAAGAAACAGGTAAATGAAACAGTTGAGCCTGAATTTGCAGCCCTTACCTTGGAGAGAATAATAGAAACATAATCTGTATAATTATTAAGAGGCAAAAATGAAAGGCAATTGAGTGAGGGAATTATAATTTCTATTTTTAAAGCATAGAAATGGTATTCCAAAACTTTTACCTAAGAGGTTGTTTTTGTTTACAGAATATTAATTAAAACTTTCTCACCTTCTTTTTGGATAATGGTAGAATAGAGAACTGAGAACTCTAGGAAATATATGGTACAGTGAAGAAGAAAACAATTACTTTCTTTTTATTTGTACCAAGCTAGATCTTTGATGCTCTTGCTTCATTCACTTCCTCTTTAATGACTAGGCCTGCCTTTGAATCTTCTGTCCACTGATGAATAGAAAATATAGAATCCTTTATTAAAATCATGTTGAGAAATGTAGATTGATCTGCTTACCTTTAGTTTGATTTAATATGAGAATGAAAAGAATTTCATGTGTCCCAAAACCTGATGCTAAAGATATTAAGAATTTTGGAAATTGCTAAACATATTGTAGCTTGGACCACATGATTGGCAATATAAGAATCAAATTGAAAGATAACTGTGTCAAAAGTTGTGACTTTTTTCATTCATATTTTTCCTAATGGAAAATAATTCCTTAGGCTAACGAATACTGACAAGATTATGGATTTGAAGGTATTACTTATGAGAACTCACAAAATAGAATTACCTTTATTTTATCGTAGAGTTTTTTTTTGTTTTGTTTTTCAGAAGGGTGGTATCTGACTTTAACACAATGTAATTGTTTAATTATATAATTCTTGCAAATACCGTTAAGTGCTATCTACATTCAAATAAAAATAATGGAAAAGCTCTTAATATTGTATAATATTGGTGGATATGAAATGTGACTTCTAAAACTGTATATGCAGAATATCATCCATTTTTGTTAAGCCATATTTTCTTCATTTGTGGACAGGATCTAAGAAAAATCTATTAATGCAGGATTCTTATGCATACTGATACGTTATTATCAGAGAAGTGTAGAGTCATTTTTGAATGCAATATTTGGATCAAAAAGGTCCATACAAATGAAAAATTGAGAATCATTTTTGAAACTAAGACAAAGTTATTAGAGAAGCAAATAGTGAGTGTATAGGTCCTTTTTCAGTTTATTTTGTACTTACATGGCTTCTTATTAGTTACTTAAGTAAATCTAATTTGGGAGTAATCAGTCTATTATTTAAGAACATTATATACACTGTTAGAATTTGGAATTTGGGGATTATGTTGAAACTAGATATCTACTCTTCAAAATGTCACTGTCCTCAGAGTTTGGAGGATTGTAATTATATCAAAGCCAAAATTGCATGGTGCAAAGTTAAAAAGGGAAAAAATTTAAAAAACAAAAAACAAAACAAAACAAAACAACTCTACTGCAGTAGAGAAAAGAGATCAGAAAGCAGTCTCAACCCAGTCCTGCTGAGTGTTTCTAAAGGAGATCTCCCAGGTTCTTGGTAAAGGCATTAAGGCATTCCTGATTTGTACACCTGACAAGAAGCTTTAAAAAAAAAAAAAAATGCATCTTAAAGGGACAAAGAATTTACACGTTTCATTGTCGTTGTTGTTGAGATACTCTCATTCTGTCACCCAGGCTAGGGTGCAATGGTACCATCTCAGTTCACTGCAACCTTGCAACCTCTGTCTCCTGGGTTCAAGTGATTCTCCTGCCTCAGTTGCCTGAGTAGCTGGGATTACAGGTGCATGCCACCACACCCTGCTAATTGTTTTGTATTTTAGTAAAGATAGGGTTTTGCCATGTTGCTCAGGCTGATCTTGAACTCCTGACCTCAAGTGATCTGCCCGCCTCGGCCTCCCAAAGTGCTGTGATCACAGGCATAAGCCACTGCACCCAGCTTGGATTTACAGGTTTTCTAAAGTAAAGGGTCTAAGAGAGGAAAGAGACCTCTGTGATTAAGCCATCTGGATTCTATAAGGGTTGGGATGAGAAGGAGGTCAGAGACCTAGAGGCAGGAAGAAGCTTATCTAAAGTTTACTCAAGCTTAGGAAAACATTAAGGCTGTCTTGATAAATTATAAGCTTTGTAAAAAATCCAAAATGGACTTCATCATTGATCTGATCTTAGGTAGTTTACTATTTTTGAAAATATCAATTAAGACCATAATACTTTATTAACTTGAATAATATGATTCTTACTAAATATGTATTTTTATATCCCATATATATTATTTTAAAATATTTTCTGGTGATTTGAATGAATTGCAAATGTTCATTAATTCTTCATTTTCAGGAAAACAAGGATCAAAGTTCTTAGCATTGCTTTTTTAAAAAAATTAGACATAATCTATTTCTGCCGCCTTGAATCCTATATATTACCTACATAAGTTATTGCAGGATTGGGATAATTAAATTATTTGCTGTATTTATAGTACTCATAATTGGATATAGTATATGCTGTATAAGTGTTAGCAAATCTTTTTTTTTTTTTTTAATTCTTGTTCATGCTGTTTTTTTCCTTTCTCCTTCTTCATTAGAATGTTATTGTATTTTTGTTGTTGGAATCATCATCATCATCATATTTTATGCCTGACAAACTTGTATTCATTCTTCAAAATGCATAGTGTAGAACACATGGACAGAGGGAGGAGAACATCACACACCAGGACCTGTTGGGGGGTTGAGGGAAAAGGGAGGGAGAGCATTAGGAAAAATACTGAATGCATACAGGACTTAAAACCTAGATGACATGTTGATAGGTGCAACAAACCACCATGGCACATTATACCTATATAACAAGACTGCACGTTCAGCAGATGTATCCCAGAACTTCAAGTAAAATTTTAAAAAATAAAAAGAAAAAGCAGAGTGTAAGGAAATAGTCTTTGGCATTTGATGCATGCGAAATCTCACTGTAAAGGTAATTGATCTATGTGAGCTTCTCTTCACATCTAAAATGAAGATAATAGTAACTATTACATTAAGTTGCAAGGATTAAGTGAGCTTAAAAAAAAAAAAAAAAAGAATCCAACATAGGTTCTGTTTAAATGCTGGTTTCTTCTTTCCCTCTTTTTTTCTATAACTGTAAAGATTTTTTAGATTTTACATTACTATTTAGCCCTACTACTAAATCCTCAAAATTCAATTTGTAATTCTCTTTTTACATTCAGTACCGTGGAAAAGTACCTGGCATATGGCAGTTATTTGGCAAATGTTTATTAAAAACGAAGAAAAAGAAACTGAGGTGAAGTGAACGTTTTGTTTATTCTTCAATTTGTGCTTTGACCGTTTATTTTAGGAGTGTGCTGCCAGAGGCTGAACATGAATATGGCATATGCCAATATGAAACTTAAAATATAGTCTTCAACTGTGAATACCTCATACCTTTCACATAATATATCTTCAGTAAAGGTTTCTGAAAGGGATGGGGTAAAGGAGAAAGAGGGATGAAGGTACTGTGGGAAGAAGGGTGTGTGAGAGAGAGGGTGGGAGAACAAGAGAGGAGAATTAAAAGGAAAAGAACAGAAAAGTCCAAAGAGGATTGAAAGAAATACGAGTGACAGACAGGAAAGTGAAAGGAATGCAGGAAAACAAAACAAAAAATCAGTAGGTTTCCACTGAAACAGCGTCTATCCTATTATACTCTACATTCTGCAAAGACTTCTGCCCCTAAAACCTAATGCCTGCTACCACCTTCTCTGCCCAGCCTGTCTTAGCTTACTTACAGTTGTCATTATCTGCATGTGTACAGATATTTCTGACAAACTTTGGTTCAAAAATGTCTGAAGGTATTTTAAAGTGTTTTATAATCCAAACACAATTTTATGAATCTCCTAACCATACTGTACTTTTCCACTTCTTTTTACATTATCTGTCCTTATTATTTCAAAAAAGATAACAGGTATTGAAAATATAAGTGGTTCGTAAAAATTGTTGTCATTTTGTTGATGCCAGTGTGTTGAGTCTACTGGAATTTACATTAATTAATTCAAACCCCGTCTCTCAATACTGCCACATTGGGGATTAAGTTTCAACATGAGTTTCACAGGGGTCAAACAATCATTCCATAACACATTGGCTTCCTGTTTATGTTTGAGATGAAATATACCTTCTGTACTACCCCCACAGACCTGCCGACATTTTCTAAATGGAAGAAAGCCATAATTGCTTTTTTTTTTTTTTTGATAGAAATGTGCTGAATAGAACACATGTAAGAAAATAAACTAACTTTAAAAATATTGATACACAAATGTCAGACACTGAAATAACTAAAAACAGGAAGTTCACAAAGTACCATTGTAGGGAGTTTCAAATTAATTTTAGGTCAAAGTAAATAATTCTCTGATTCATACGGAAATCTGAATTAAAATTCTGGAAATACCATCTCAAGCAAGAAAATGTACTTAGTATGCCATATTTATTATAAATTAAATAAAGTACACATTTATCAATCTGCATTGAAGTCTTCTAGTAGTTGAAGGGTTTAAGAACCAGTTTTATAGGAAGTTTCAAACATTAGAAATATTATTTAAGTTATATACACTAATAGCTATATTATTTAAAAATCTGTTAGCATTATGAATATCTAATTTCTGGTTACAATAAAAATATTGCTTTTAGAGGATTAAAATACATGTAGATACTAAACTAATGTTGAAAATTATGTATGTTTTACAACTGATTATAAGACAAATTATTTGTTACTCTTCAAACTCCATATTCAAATATTGCACTTTAGGAAAGCAATTTTTCAAGGGGGAATTTTAAATGTGACAAAATCACTGAAAAAATAAATATTTAAAACTAATTATAATTTTCTAGAATCAAACGTAGAAAAAAGGTATAATTTTTCAATGCCTATATGAATATGAATCTTGGCTAAATTTAAAATTGTTTAATCACACTTCATATCTACTATCTCAAGATTTCATAATGTTACATTTCTATTTAATTAAAAATGTTTCATGAGTTATAAAACTGCTGAGTTTTTTAACTTTCTGCTCTGAGCATTAATATTTTTGTTCCAGTAAATATCTAGAATCCAAATTTTTACATGTTTATTTTTATATACATGTAGAATAGAGTTACTGTACTGGTAATATGTACAAGGATCAACATTTTTGTCTGTGCCATTATGCAATTTTTTTCAATTATTTTATATTGTATGTGATTATTAACATATAACTTACTTTACAAATGTAACAACTATTTTTAAAAAGTCTATGCTCTGAATTATCATTGTTTTCTTTGAAAAAAAATGTGTGTATCCATATGCTTTGGAGTTTTTAATAATGTTTTTACTTAAAAGTTTTCACATCTGGCATTTATTTACTTTGTTGACGCTTTACATGTGTTGACATATCTTGTAATTCCAAAGTAAATGGTAGAAACATTTACACACCTTTCCTATAGGGACCCGCCATCATCCTGGGTCTTAAATGTTTATACAAATAAAATCATAAGGAAAATGATCAGCCTGAAGTTAAAGTAACTCAGAATATAGAAAATAAGCTACTTTGAACAGAAAGTAGCATAAATTACAGCCAAAAGAGCATCCACAGGAAACTCCTATCTATTTGAAAGTTGTATGCTGTTTCCAATGGTTTTGATGTTACTCTAGTCATTGAAATATATGTGCTCAATTTTATAATATACCTATCAATGTTTTTCCTCCTCTTATATGATCTAAGATCTTAGAACATTTTAACATCATTTATCTCTATTAGCTTCTTTGCAGCAGTTATTTTTATCTTAATTCTACTTTGCTTTTATTCTTTCTCTTGAACTCCAAAATATACAATGAGAATTATTTTATATCATCAATATTTGTTTAAATTCACTCACGTACTATAACCTTTTGGTGTTCTTTAAATTTTTTTTCTTATATCTCAATAATTTCATCAGGAAAAAATTTTCTTCTAATTAAATATCCCATCTTCAAAGTTTTTAGAGTGAAATGTCTGCTTGTGGAAACATTTCTCAATTTTTGGTTTTCTGAACACTTTTTATCTGACTCTGTTTCTTGTAGCATATTTTTGTGAAGAAGTTTGCTACCATCTGTTGGCTCATTGAAGTAAATTTATCTTTGTCCCTCTGCTTCTAATTTTTTTTATCATTGTTACTCTAGAAGTTAGCTCTAAGGCATTAATTTATTTATGTATTTCTTTTTTTCTTTTTTTTTTTTTTTTTTTGAGATGGATTTTTGCTCTTGTTACCCAGTCTGGAGTTCAATGGCACAATCTCAGCTCACTGCAACCTCCGCTTCCCGGGTTCAAGTGATTCTCGTGCCTCAGCCTCCCAAGTAGCTGGGATTACAGGCATGCACCACCATGCACGGCTAATTTTGTATTTGTAGTGCAGATGGGGTTTCACCACCTTGGTCAGTTTGGTCTCGAACTCCCGACCTCAGGTGATCCACCCGCCTCAGCCTCCCAAAGTGCTGGGATTACAGGCATGAGCCACGACGCCTGGCTATATATATTTCTTGAAATATCCTTGAAAGAAGGAAACTACATACAGACAAGCTCCACATTCAATCTGGCATTTTATCTGGTGCACATTGATATAGAGAAAAAAATTAGTTTGGAGCTACCAAAACACCTAGAATTTGATCAGGGAGACAGAAGATACATAATTCTGCAAAAGAAGGATTCCAAAGTTCTTCCTGGAAATATTTGAGAGCACTCACCTAATAACATATGAGCTTCATATGTTCATGCTGAGCACTTTGCTTGTTACTTTGTAGACAGTAGCTCCTGTTCAGCTCACATCTGACTGGAAAATATAAGAGGTCATACAGTACTAGAGCCATTAGAGTTCTAGCCTACCCTTGGAAATTTATGTAAGAACCCAGAAAGTTTTATAGAGATAAGGACACCACCTTTGAATCAGAATATAACCCTTGAATTAAGAAGACAACAAAAATAAAGTCATCCTAACTAATCATAAATAAAGCTTAATAAAATACAGAAGATCTGTTAGGGTTTTATTGTCAGAACAAATCAGTACCATATAAAGAAATAAATGATCTCTCCTTTTAAGGTAACATTGAACATTGACAATATGCAGAATTTCAAAAAATGGAACAGCTATGTTAAAAAAAAAAAAAACAGGAAAATGTGACATATACTTAGCAGCAAAAGCAGTCAGTAAAAGTGGATTACCAGATGAGACCGATTTTGAGTTAGCAAAAGGATGTAATACAATTGTCAAAATATATTTAAGGAAAGTAAATAAAAATTTGGACATATGAAGGAATAATTTTGAAATTGCAAAAGAATGAAAACTATAAAAAGAAAATGGAAATACTAAAAAAGTACAATACATGAAAGAAAATTCATTGAATGGGTTAAACGGCTTATTAGACAGTAGAGAAAAAAGAATAAGTGAAGTCGATGACAGATCAATAGAAATATAAAGTGAAGATTCCAAAATAATAAAATAATTAAATGAAGATTTAGTAATATATAGGAAAATATCAAGTAATATAGCAATGAGTGTGGTTCTAGAAGACAGAAAAATAGAGAAAAATATTGAAAGTAATAATGTCTTAAAACTTGTCAAACTTGTGACAAATATCAACCTATACATCTAGAAATTCAGTGAAACACACAAAGATAAAAATATTTTAAAGAAAATATTAGCAAATTGAATCCAATAATAACTATAAAGTATAATCCATTACCATGTGGAACAACATATCTATTGAATGCAGGATTGGTTTAACTTTTGAAGAGCAATTAATCCAAAATGCAGCTCTAATAAAAGAGAAATATTATGAGTACATCATTAAACAATCTTTAATACCTAGTCATGTTAATAGCTCAGAGTAAAATGAGAATAAATGAAAATGTCCTCTATCTGATGAAGTATTTTTTCTGAAAAACCTAGAGCTAACATCATATGTAATAGCAAAATATTGATGCATTCTTACTAAGATTTCAAATAAGGCAAGGATGTGAGTTCTCATTGCTTTATTTAACATTTTATTAGAGGTCTTCCCAGTGCTATCCAGCAAAATCATGACTGAAAAGGAAGTAAACCTCTCTTTACACACACATGAAATGATTAGATTTGTGAAAAATCATGAGAAATATATTTAATAAATGTAATAAACATTCAATTTTTTTCAAAGTCACTGGATACATGGTCAATATATAAAGGAACAATTGTATGTAATAGCAATAAACAAGTGGAAAATTTAATTGAAGCACAATACCATTTGCCATGGTATAAAAACAATAA